AATCCAATTCCAAATCTTATTAATACTAGTAATACTAATGCGTTATTTCCGGTCTCTCTCAGCCTTCTCTCTATAAAAATTTTCGCAGTTTTTTTCTGTATCCTGTTTCTTTGTTCAACTTATCCAAACAATGATATTCTCCAAGCTTGGGCGTTCGGTTTCGCGATCTTCTCGTTACAGAGTAAGTTTGATTTTCTCTCCCTTTCTGTTTTGGATTTTCTGGTTTTCGTCTTTTTTTAGCTGATTCTTTTGGTTGGGGGCAGAATTTATTGTGCAACAATGGAGGTGGTCGGAGATCGATGGTTTTGCCCAGTGTGGATGGGTACCTGGAGAGAATCAATGGAGATTTGGGGTTGTTGAGAACTTATTTAACTTCAATAGGAGCTCCGAAGGAGTTCAATTCCAAGGCCTATTTATCGGATTTGAATTATGTTCTTGCTAACCCTAGATATCACCGGTTTTTCTCCAGTGAACCGCCAAAGAAGAAGAGTAAGCTGAAATGAACTTTCTTTTTTCATTTTTCTGTGGTGATTATTGTTGGGTTTGCTTATTTCGTTGTAAATCTATTTGCTTTTATAAGCTAATATAATCAATTATCTGTTTTGAGATGATACACGAAAGAATCAATAATTGGTAAGTAAATGGAAATGTTTTAGCTGAGCTTAAGAGCTGTTGTTAGCTTTTGGGAAGTGCTTTTCTGGATTTCTGCGCTAACCATTAGAAATATTATCCATTTTTGAAAGCAAGGAGAGTGATTTTTTTGATTAGATGAGGGGTTGTTTCTTCAAATTTGAAAAGTTCTTCGCTTTTAGTTTCTTGGTTCAGCACTTCAGAGATGCTTTGCTTGACTTTCATTTTAAAACTTATTAAAGTGAATTTTGAATTATAAATCAAGAGAAATAGTAATTGAGTGCTATGCAAGCTTTTCACATTTTGGATTTTGGGAAGTTATGTCTGTTGGTTATATGCAGATTATGAGAACTTCTATCCAAAGGAAAAGAAGGAAATTCCAAAGCAGAATGAGCAAAAATCCGAGTCTAAACGTGAGTTCTTGCTTTATTAGTTTAAAGGCTTGTTTTTTTTTGCTATCTTTACATGGATTTAGTGGAAACTGTAAATAGAGGATAAATATGTAGAATGGATATATTTTTATCAAAGATGCTGAAAAAATGAAGATAAAATGATAATCAAGTTCCATCTGAAGGAGTTGTAATCTTATCTCAAGAAACAATGGAAAGTAAAAATATATAGAGTAATAGAGAAGAATAGAAAAAACTCCTACTTCTTTTTCTATTTTTTTCTGGGGGTTCAGACTTAGGACCCATGGTCCCTATTTTAGATTCCTTTCATAACTCTATGATGAAAAGCACATGCAAGAGGCATTCTGTAGTCCTAGTCTTGATTTTTTTCTATCTAATTTCAGAGGATTCAAACACAGATGATCAGGGGAATTTTCAGGAAACGTTTGTCAAGTATTTTGAAAGTTTACTCACTCCTCTCTTAGTGATTGCACTATTTCTTTATTTCTCTCCTTTGGGAGCCAGTGAGCAGCAACAGGTGAGTGCATGCATTTTTACTTTGCCTTGATAAGGTGATGGTCTTTTGGATGCAATAGGCTCTTTTAACATTTAGGTTAAGAAATTTAACTCCAAAAGAATTTTTTGAATCATATTCCAGGCCATTATAATCATTGGGGACTGAACTAGCTTTAGGTTGAGTGAATTCAATGCTGTGATTGGGGATCTTATAAAAGCTTTAGGCCTGAGATGTAGTAGTTCCTTACCTGGCTGACTCACTGGACTCTTGTGAGCTGCAATCT